TAAAATTACATGTTATGATAAATTTTTAAGGTGCGCCTTTAATGGATTGTTTAAGGTTGCAACCTTATAGAAACCGCACCCTTTATTGAATAGGTGCTGAAACAACAATATTTACAATGGCTCTAAAAGAGCATCAGGAATAGAAAGAGAGGAAGAAGAGGTGCCAAGGTTAGCAAGGCTATCAGCTATCCCATTGGCTTCTCGATAGATATGAGAGAATGAAAGGTGGAGAAAGGTCTAGAATCTTCAACCCAAAAACATGGAGAGACTACGTAATTTTCTGGTCCTACTTGTACCATTTGATAACATTAAGGGAATTACCTTCTACAAGAATCGAACCTGATAGGCCTTTACTGACGATTATCTCTAACCCTTGTAAAAAGGACTAGCATAGGAGAAAATGGTTGAGCCATTATGGTCCCACAGCAGTCCACCAATTCCAGTAGGACCAGGGTTGCCTAGGGAACTGCCATCAAAATTCAGTTTAAAAGATCCCATGGGAGGCGGCAACCATAAATAGTGAGACTAGGGACAAGGGGAAAATGAAAAGGCTAAATTCCTTAAGTTGATAAAGATGTCAATATGGGAAACTCCACGACCTTCAGGTGTAGAGGAAAACCAGTCCCAAAGAGATTGAAGAATATGGTCTTTAATACTGTCCACCGAATCCACCGAAAGAGATAGACCATCAAAAGTTCTCGCTGTAACCAGATCTGCCATAAAATAGCGCTTCTAAAATATTTCCAAATTAGAAGGTCATTAGGGGCCAAACAAACTTGAGAGAGATGTAGAATTATATCGATTAAGCTAGCAGGCAGCATAAGGAATAAACCTAAGATCTCAAAAGCCCAACTCCTTATAGAGTAGGCAAATGAACAGTGTAGAAAGAGATGGTTTCCATACTCCTCACATTCTTGCAAAGAAGACAAATGTTTGGTAAAATTCTTCCTCTAATGCGAAGATCATCAACTGTAAGGCACTTACCTTGCAATGCTACCCAAAGAAAGGCTTTGATTTTCATCAATACCCGCCATTTCCATATAGATCCGAGCTTTGAATTAGACCATCTCAACCGGTCATGATAGAGGAGTTGATAAGCGGACTTAACAGAGAAAATCCCACCGCACTCACATTCCCAAACAATATCATCTGAGCCTGCATTAGAAAGATCATTTCCATTCATTAGATGTTCAATTCGATGGTTTGGGGTGAGTCACGAAGTCCAAAAATATTTTTTTAGAATTTAGTGTTTATTCAATGACACTCTTACAACCATCCATTTCAAAATTTAAATGACAAAAATGATTATGACCTCCTTGTACAAAAGATAAATAGTTTTTTTAAGACAATCTTGTATGTAATTTACCTTCAAGTATTATTTAAAGGAAAATTGTTTGGTGCGTCCAAGTCCGCATGTGTTATTATGCGGGCTTGGAGATCTACACCATCCACCAAAAGCAGGTCTTGTAAATAAATAGTACTCCAAAGAAAAAGTAAAATCAACTGTTCAATTATTTTTTCAAAAAATATCATTTATAATTTTTAAAATTTATTTATTTTTACAAATTAATAATCTTTTTACAAATTAATAATCTATGTTAAAGATTATATATTCCCTAAAAATTATGATCAAATTCTATTTCAAAAATAAATTATTAAAGGGCCCGCATTTCTACATTTGAGTATGTGGACTCACAGAAACCGCGTCCTTATTTGAATCATTTGGCGTCAATCATATACTATATTATAGAAGTAAGCCATACCCTTGAAACTCACTTAAAAATGTTATTTAGGAGCTTGAAGACCCTTTAGTCGATCATCTCGACTTCAACATATATGCAAACGAAAGGCAATGTTTAAAAAAATGGTTTTGTGACT